AAGGGAGGGGAGGAATGCCAAGGGGAGGGAAGGGAGGAGGGGGGAGGGGAGAGCAAGAGGAAGAAGGGAGGGGAGGGGAGAGCATGAAGAAGAACGGAGGGGAGGGGATGGGAGTCAGGCAGAGGGGCAGGGCAGGCCCCTGATCCTGATCCTGTCCCCATCATTTCCTGGGAACACCCTACTGAGGTGCCTCCAGCTTCTCTGAGGAACCCCTGGGGAAACCAGGAGCTCTTTACTGTTCCAGGGTCCCCATCCTACTTTGGAAAAGCATGCACCTCTACCCGTACCCATGGGTCACACCAGTTCCTCTGGATTTTCTATTTTATTTTATTTCTATTTATTTATTTATTTATTTATTTGAGACAGGGTCTTGCGCTGCTGCCCAGGTTGGAGTGCAGTGGCCCAATCTCAGCTCAGTGCAGTCTTAACCTCGCCAGCTCAAGTAATTCTCCAGCCTCAGCCTCTTGAGTGACTGGGACTACCGGTACATGCCACCACACCCAGCTCATTTTTTAATTTTTTGTAGAAACAGGGTCTTGCTGTGTTGCCAGGGCTGGCCTTCAACCCCTGGGCTCAAGCAATCATCCTGCCTCTCAAAGCACTGGGATCACAGGCATGAGCCACGGTGCTTGGACTCTGGATTATTGATGGTAGGGAAGTGCCCATCCTTGTCGCTTGGCTGGCTAGAATCCTGCAAAGTCCCTCCCATCATGCGGCCTCTCCATGCATATTGTCATTTTTCGGAGCCCCATCACTACCCTCCTTGCTAGTCTTTCCGGCTAGCTCGGAGAAGAATCTCACTACTCGATGTGTGGTCCATGGACCCGCAGCATCAACACCACCTGGCCCCTTGCTAGGCAGAACCTCAGGCCCCACCCTAGTCCCGTGGAATCAAAATGTGCATGTCAACAAGATCCGCAGGTGATGCCCAAGCACTTTAGAGTGTGAGTAGTGGGACCTCTGAGCTCCCAACTCTGAGACGCCACCATCTCCTGGCCCTCTACCCACAGTTCACTCTCAGGAACCACGCACTTGACATGCCTCAAAGGGAGGTCCCCTCCTTCCCTTCCCCCTGCTGTGTGATTCCAATACTGTCACCTCCTACATGGTCACCCAAGCCACAGACCAAGGCGCTGGCCTCCGCCTTCCCTTTCTCTCATCCCGCACATCTGATCTGGGCATTACCAAATCCAATCCATCTCCCACCAAAAAATGCCTCTCAGACCCTCCACTTTCCCTTCAACTCCCTCTCGGCTTTTCTTTCCACCTGCAGCCTGAGGGAGCTTCCTGAATCACACACCTGCTCATGCCCCTGTCCATCCCACCCTCTGACAAGAGTCCCCACACAGGCCATCTCGGCTGTGCTGACCATTCCAGCCCCCTCCCCTACCTTCCGGCTCACATCCCACGCAGCCAAGCTGAGTCACTGGCAGTTCCCAGAATATACATGTTCTCTGTCACCTCCTGACCTTGGCTTTTGCTGCTGCCTCTGCCACAAATACTCTTCTCAATCTCAGGCCCTTCTTGGACCATTCCTTCAAATTCCCAAAATCCAGCCATGCCCTGGAGTCTGGGTCCGTGGCCCCTCTCCAGGGCCCCACAATTCCCTGTGCTCCCCGTCATCCATCATGGCACTTGCTACACTGTACTGTCACTAACTGCAAATGTGTCCATCTCCCCACTGCACGGAAGAATGCTGCATCTGACTCCACTTGGGATTCTCCCCTGCACCCAACACAGGTCCTGGCCCAACGCAGGCAGCCAGCAGTGTTTGTTGAATAAATGAATGAGCCAATGGGGGAATGAACAAATGAATGAATGAATGAATGACCCTCCATCCCTTTCCCTGACCTCCCTCCCAACTCCCCACCTCCAGCCCAGCCTCCACCCACCTGGCACTGGGTTTGGTACTTCTTGGTGGGCCGGCCCACGATGAAGATCTGGGAGGCTGGCAGGCCCAGCACACTGTAGACAGAGATGTCCTTTGTGGAGCCATAGGCCGCACTGATTCTGATGAAGCACTGGAATACAGGGTAGGCCATGGAGGGAGAGTGAGGCCAGTCCATCCCCCAGAAAGCCTTCCCAAGCCAACCCCAGGGAGCCCCTGCTTGGGGACTCTATGTGCACTCTGGTAGACTCCAAGCCATGAGGCCACCCTGTGTCAGGAATGAACCCCCGAGTGGCAACCCCTCCTTGCACCCAGGCCCAGCAGAGGGCTCTGCTGGTAAGCAGGTGTGACCACAGCATTTTTACTGACCCCCTCCCCTCCAGCAGCAGCACACTCCAGTTAAGGAACAATGAAGCAAAGTGTTCCTTGTGGATTAGGAAATCGAGTTCAGGCTTCTGGCTCGCAGAGCCAGGACGGGAGGCCGGTTCTGCCTGGCTCCTGATCCTGTGTGTCCACACTGCTCCACACTGGGGTTTGCCATTTGCCCGATGCCTCTCACAGGACCTTCCCAGAATCCCCAATTCAATTCAGACAACTGCACAAGATCCACCTTGCTCCAGGGACACTTCCAGACCATCACCCTCCCCTCCCCTCCTGGAGAGAAACCGGATCAAACTACCTCCTCCTGTGAGGTGCCGGCCCCCCAGCTGCCCCTCGATGTGTGCCTCCCCTCAATGTCATCCTCTTTTTTCCCAATCATGCTCTTCCCAACCCACTGGAGACTTTGGTCCTGGGTCATAGCTTTCCTTCCTCCCAAGCGCCACCATTGCCGGGAGGACCCACAGTCCAAGTGATGTGAAGGACCTACCACCTCCCAGCCAGCCTCGCAGCTTTGCACCTTCTTTGATGGCAGTGGCCATCACTTCCAGGACCAAACTCAGAACCTGCCCCTCAAACTGTGAAATTCCACATGTCCACTCCGCCCAGGGATTCTGCCCCCGCTCCCCTCCACTTCTCTGCCAGCCCCACCTGGCTGCTCTCAGCCTCACCGACGCTTGTGTTTTCTGCAACACCTTCCTGCCTTGCCCCTTCCTCAACCTGACTGAGTGACCCGTGGCATCCCTGTGCCCTCTGCCTCCACCCCAGGGTCTCTCACCCCTTCATCCTCCTCCCACACCTGCCCGGCCAAATCTCAGCCCTGGAACTTTTCCACCAGCCCCCTTGTCTGGTTGTACACGCTGCCCACCAAGAGCTGCTAAAGAAACTGGCAGAGCCACGCAGCTCTCACCTTCCATATTCTTCCTGTCCTTCCCTGGGACCTACCCCATCCTGCAGGTGACTGCCTTCGATGCTGAACCAAGGAGAGGGCTTCCTCAGCCCGCTGCCCCTCCCCTCAATGGTTGGTTTATTCCCAGCTGGCCTTTGGCTCAGAGGACGGAGCAGCCTCTTTTTGTCTGGTCCTTCCACCTTCTCATTCACCTGAGCTCACTCCTGTAACTTGGATCCTCCAGCTCTGGCGACCCTGCCTACCTTCCTCATGAACCTCCCAGCTGACACCCACCTTCTCTGCTCCTCACTCTACTACTTTTACCCCCTTGTCCTTCCAAAGTGTCCCTTCCTCACCAAGGTCACCCGGTGGTCAATCTTTGTCTAGTGGACAGTTCACAGCATCCCACACCCTTGGCAAGAGGGACACTGTCTCCTTGACCCCTCTTCTCCAGATACCTGGAGCCTCTCTCTCCTGGCCCTCCTCCCCCTCTCACTCTCCTCCTGGTTCCTCAGCCGCTCCTTGTCCTGCTCTTGGGGGCCCAGCACAGCCTCTTCTCTTCTCATGCTTCGCCTACCCTCTTGGGGCTCCACTGATCTGTCCCATGCGTCGTTTCCCAGTCTCCACCTGCAGCCCAGACCTCCCCTAAGCCATATCAGGTCCCATGGCCATAGCAGCCTTGACATATCCACAGCTGAGCTCATCTCCCTCTAGCCTGGTCCTCCTCTCGTGTCCCCTCATATTCATTCATTCATTCATTCACTCTACCAACAGTTATTGAGTCCCTACCATAGGGCATCATCCCCCAATCCAGAAGCTGTATTGGTGAGCAGAACATCAGGCTCTGCCTCCATAGAGACCTTGGTCAGGTGTGCAGCACCTGGATACCTCCTGGTCACCCAGCGCAGGCATCTTCAACTCCTCACTCCCTGCATCCCAGCATCCCTGAGTCCTAACAATTCCACCTCCTAATCCTGTCCCTGCTTTTCTCTCCATCCTGTGGTCCTCGTTGCCTGGATTATGGTCTTCCTGTCTTTTGCTTGGGCAACAGCTCCCAATCTGTTCTCCACACAGCCACCGATAGGATTGTTCTACAAGCCAAATTAAACACTGCCACTTCCCTGCTTTAAACTCTTCCACGGCTCCCTATTACCCTCAGCAGAGAGTTTATGATCTTGGCCTGGTTTCCAAGGTTTTCAGGATCTGCCAAGTTTGGGCCCCTGATGATCTCTGAGGGCTCAGCTCCCACTTGTCCTGGGTGTAACCCTGCCTGCATTTACCCCACTCCTGGATGCCTGCAGCTCTGAGAACGTCCCAAGCTCTGTCCTGCCTCTGTGCCTTTGCACAGGCTGTTTTATTGTCTACCTGACAAACTCATCCTTCAAGACTCAGCTCAAAAGTTACCAGCCTTCCCTGGCCTCCATGGCCAAACCCAAGTCGTTTCTCCACTGTTTGCTAAAAGGGTCTTTTTCCAACCACACACCAGTGCTTGTCAATTTACATGTCCTTCCTCCTCTAGACCAGGGATTTGCTGACTTTTTCTTGGAAAGCCCAGATAGTAAATGTCTCAGGCTTCGCACTGTGTTACCATTACTCAATTCTGCTGTTGTATTGCAAAAAGCAATCATAGACAGTATGTAAACAGATGAGCTTGGCTGAGTTCCAGTCACACTTTTTTATTTAGAGACACTGAAATGCATGTAATTTTCATGTCATGAAGTACCATTCGTTTGATTGTCTTCGTCCATTTGAAATGGACGGAGACAATAGCTCACAATCACATCAACAGTCTGTGGGCTGGATTTGGTCATTGGTTGTCAACTCCTGCTCTGCTCTAGGTCGGGGATTCTCAAACTCTTTCTGTGCATCAGAATCCCCTGGAGAGCTTGTGAAAAGGTTCCTGAGCCCCTCCCCAGAGTTTCTGATTGAGTAGATCTAAGAGGGTTGTAGAGGGGCGGGGCAGAGAATTTGCACTTCTGAGTTCCCAGGTGCTGCTAGAGGGAACCATAGCTCCGGGTCATGAAAAGAACATCCTGCCCCCTCTTCCCCGTTCTGTTTGTCTCTGTGCAGCCCCAACAAGCACAGAGTAAGGAACGCAATCGACACTTAAATGTCCTTTGGATGAATGGCCAGATGTAGAGAGTCAGGAGATAAAGGATGAAAGTCTGACTCAGATCTAGGGCAAGCCTCTGACTCCTCACCTTTCTCCTCTATCAGTGACGAGACTAATACCTACCTCTCAGGGCTGCTGGAGGACCCAGCGAGATCCACAGGAATGGACTTTGCACACTGCACATCCATGAGGCCCCACCCGGGTGGAGGGAGGCAGGAGTGGTAGAGAGGAAGGTTGGAAGGCAGGGCGTGGTGTGGAGGAGGGTCACGCTCTCAAGCCGCAGAGCAGCCCTTGCCCCTGCCCCCGCCTCCGCCCTGGACTGGACACTCACCTCCTGCATGAGGTTGCGCAGGAAGATAGCCTTCTGCCGCAGTGGGTCGTGCACCAGCCCGTCCGAGAAGAAGATCATGCCCTGGGGAAAGTTGTGCTGGGACAGCCACGACACCACCCGCTGCTTCTGCATGTCCGGCCGCCCCGTGATGTAAAGGATCATGTAGCCCAGGTCCTGCCAGTGCCTGGCGAGATGGCATCAGGAGGGTCCAGCCCCACCCAGCACAAGGCACCCAATGCCCAAAAACCCACCCTGCCCTTAGCTGCCCTCCTGAGATGCCAGAGAGACAAGCCGGAGGCATACTGGAGAGAACACAGGGGACCCTGAATCCCCTCTCCGGGTTGAACCCAGGACATCCCCCCTCGATGGCCCTGCAGGCACCGCATGCCTATATCAAAATTCATCTCCTCGCCCCTGCCCCCCTGCTCACAGCCACTTCAGAGCCAGAGACAGGTGCCTTTCATTCCTCCCTGTTCCCTGTGCCTCCATCCCCCCTCCTCCTCCTCCAGGGAGCAAGCTTTATGGTTTCACCAGGCCAGGCTCTTTACCCTCCCCAGCCCTCTCACTGAAGCCATGCTTCTCATCCTTAGCTTGGGCCCCATCTCTCTCCTGGGCCACTACAAAAGCCTTCTGGGCAGCCTCTTTCCCTCCCCCACCATTCCTACCGGCATCTAACCTGAGCCATATAACCCTGGACAGATTACTCAGCCTCCCAGGGTTTCACTGTTCCCATCTTTAAAAGGGGCATAATAATATTAACCACCCCATGAGGTTGTCCTAAAGATGAAAGGAATTAATCCCAAACATGCATGGTGTGCTTGGCTTTATTATTATCCTCTGCAGTGTTTACATGGTGATCTCTATACATCACAAATCTAACCCCAGCACTCCTTTGCCTAACAGCATCTCCAGGTTCCAGGGCCTTGAGGTAGAGCCTAAAGGCCTCTCTCTGCTTCTGTGGCCATGTCCCTGCTCTGCCCTTGCATATGGGATCCTCCAGCCCACCCAGAGCTGCTTTGCTGCCCCTGGACGAGCCCTGTTGTGGGAAGTAAAAAAGTTCTTCTTTAAAGTTTCCTTTCTTGTTAAAGAATAAATCATAAGTGTGCTAATAACTCTTTGTCAAGCCCTGTCCTAGGTAGCTGTTAAATATGCCATGCTTACAGGCACAGAGTGCATTCTATGTCCTTGTACTTAAACCAAGATGTCTGTGCTGGACGTGCTCACAGGCATATCCCAGCTCTCCATTGCTGTTACCTGTTTAGAACGTTCCAGGTTTAGAACTCCCTTTTACCTCTTCTCTCCCCAAAGCCATCACGGTCACTGGGGTGAGGCAGGGCACTCTCCAGCCCCCAAGAACTTCCAGTGCCTGGCATCTTCCTACTCTTGAGGTTCTGATCACTTGGAGCCCTAGGCTACAGTTTCTCATGCCTGCGACTTATTTTCCCCACCTGACTGAGTTTCCTCCAACTTAGGAGCTCACTCTGCATCTGTGCTCAGCACACAGCCTGGCCATAATGGGCCTCAGAAAGTGGTGGATGCATGCTTGAGTGGAGGGAGAGAGGGAAGGAGGAAGGAAAATGGAAGGAATTGAAAGAGGGAGGAAGGAAGTGAGGGAGGGAGGGAGGAAGAAACAGACAAGCTGAGGTCTAGAAAGCAGGAGAGATTTCTCCCAAGGACACTCAATGAATTACTGTTAGAAGTAAAGCCAGGACTTCTCAGCTCACAGCCCCAGAGATCAATAGAATTCCCAGGGCAAATCAGAAAAACAAAGTATTTCCCCCAGGACTGCTGGCTCCTGCCCCCCAGGGAGACAGATCCCTCATGGAAGGCGGCACTCACCGGACAACGTCCACTGCGCCCGGCCGGACCTTGGGGTCGCTTCCCATGATGGACACGCTGGCCGCAAAGGACCCGTCAATGCTGAACACCACGCACTCCATGCCCCGCGGCAACACCGTGAGGTAGCTCATGGCACAGGTCTGGTCGCCCCTGAAAGGAACCTCCCTATGGTCAGCCGTGCAGGCAGGGTCAGAGGTGAGCCTGAAGCCAGAGGTCAGCCTGGAGCTGCGGTCAGAGCTCAGGGTGGGTCAAGGTCAGAGAGCACCTGTGTGGCATCTCCTGATGCCACGGCTAGTGACCTCTCCCAGCTACCTCTGTCCACGCAGACAGAGATGGGGGTCAAAGGAGCCTCAAGGACCCCATCTTCTGGACAGGCCTGGCTGGAAGGGCCATGGAAAGGAGAGAAACCCCCATGAGAACGGCCCCTGGGTCTTACCTGACGACCATCTTCACAGGATAGACGCCGACCCCCAGGCGCCGGGGCCGCGGCACATTGTATGTGATTCGACCACTGCTGTTGGTGATCTCCGTGTCCAGGTGTACCCAGCGGCCTGAGGACGGCTCTGCCATTACCAGGATGTCCACCTGTGGCAGTGAAGGGAATCAGGACTTCCTGAAGGCTGAGAGGCTGCAGGCTTGGCAGAGGGGCTGGGCAGGGGAGCTCTGGGCTGATGTCCCTGCCTGACATTCCCTGGCTCCTGCCACCCTGGCTCCTCATTCATCCTTGGATGCTTTGAGCCCATCCTTTCCTCCTTGCTCACCCTCCCTGGCCTGCCCAGGCAGGCGAGTGGCTTCCGGCCCTGTGCGGCCACCCCAGGCATCTCGGCCCTCCTGGAACCCTCACTCCACATGCCATATGGCTCCATGAGGCACCTGGTGCAGGTGCAGGGGCCGAGGAGGGGATGCCCAGCCCCGGGTACCTTCTCTCCAGTCAGAGCCACCATGTCGAGTGGCCCGTACATGAACCGCCCCACCAGGACCTGGGGGCCATCTTCAGCGGCAATCACGTCGTTGGCCCGGTGATTAGCCGTCACATTCTGGAAGGACAGAAAGAAGCCAGCTCAGCCTTTGCAGGCTCAACCTTGCTGTATCATCGCAGTGTTCTTCAGACTGGCCAGAGCCATTAAGCCCACTGAATCATGTCTCCCTACTCACTTCCGCTGGAGTGTCAGAGATGTGGTCCCAGGGAACTTGTAAGAAAAACAGAGCATGAGTCCCCCTAATGCTGTCTTCAAGGAGCACTGGGCTTCCTGCTGTTGTACATTCTCTGCTTTTGACTCTGCTCGGCCCTGAGGGGACAACCGGCCTCACAGCCCGTCCTTGTCCTCTAGACGCCTGGTCGGGAAACTGCCTGGCCACCTTTGATTCTTTCTTCCACATCACAGCTCACATCCAACAGATATTTACCATCTGTCTTTTTTTTTTTTAGATAAAATTTCAAATGCCCAAGCATAGAGAGAAGAGTGTAACAAAGCCTTGTGTTCCCGGCACCTGCTCTACCGCTTAGCAACGAACTCACAGCCCTCCTGGTTTCATTCTCCCCTTGCCCAATTCCCCAGCCTCAGCCCCAGCCCCGCCAGGATTATCCAGGATATCAGTGACTGTCTCAACATCCCTACTCTTCTTCACTTCTGGTTTCAGTTCATTCTGCAGCTCTGAGGCCTGTGTTGGCCCCTACCAGCCCTGACTCCCAGCCTGGCCTCCAAGACCCCGTCTCTCAATCCAGTGACCATTCCTTTATCATGCTGGCCACCTCTTTCCCCTACAACCACATGGCCCGGGTGCTGCTAACAGCTTCCTAACTGAGCTCCTTACTCGAAGGCAGTCCCTGCAAGAGCGCCTCTGTCTTTATAAAGCACAGATCTGGCCAGGCACAGTGGCTCATGCCTGTAATCCTTGCACTTTGGGAGGCTGAGGCAGATGGATCACGAGGTCAGGAGATCGAGACCATCCTGGCTAACACGGTGAAACCCCATCTCCACTAAAAATACAAAAAATTAGCCAGGCATGGTGGCATGTGCCTGTAGTCCCAGCTAAGGGGGAGGCCAAGGACAGAGAATCACTTGAACCCAGGAGACAGAGTTGCAATGAGCCAAGATCACACCACTGCATTCCAGTCTGAGCAAGACTACATCTCAAACAAACAAACAAACAAACCAAAAAAACATAAAGCACAGATCTATTAACACCCTCCCTGGCTCCCCAGTGCCCTCTGGGTGGAGTCCAGACCCTGAGCTTAACCCTCCAAGCCTTGCCTGAACCACCTCTTCAAGCTTGTCTCCCACTGCTCCCTGTCCACACCTTCTGGTGCTTTCTGCCAAGCTCTGCAGCAGCCTCCAGGCCTTTGCTCACACCACCACCCCACCCCCACACTGGCTCTCGGTGCCATCCCCGGCCCTCTTCCCCCTCACTCCAGCCCATTCACTATGACTAGGCTCAGGATCACCTCCCCAAGAAGCACTCCTCGGACTCCTCAAAGATACGTTCTTGGCCTCCTTTCGGTTCCCACACATTTTAATTCAATCCAACAGATATCTACAGACACCTCATTTGCATGGGTCTCTGAGATGAACAGGTTGTGGGCCCTGCCCTGGAGACACTCAGCCAAGTAGGGGACATAGGCTTCCCTCCAGGTGTGCTGTCTGGGGGAGGGAACAGCTGGTTCATGAATATCAGCCCCTGAAAAGATGCCGCATCACTAGTCATTAGGGAAATGCAATCAAAACCACAATGAAATACACCCACCAGGACGACTGGAATCAGAGAGAGAGATAATCACAGAGGTTGCTGAAGATGTAGAGAAATCAGAATCCTCATACATTGCTAGTGGGACTGTAACATGGTACAGTCACTGTGGAAAACAGTCTGGCAGTTCCCTATACGATTAAACAGAGTTACCATTTGATCCAGCAATGGCACTTCTAGGCATATACCCGAGAGAAATGAAAACATATGGGAAATGAAAAACACAAAAACGTATACGAATGTTCATGGCAGCATTATTCAGAGTAGCTAAAAGGTGAAAACAGCCCAAATGTCCATCAGGTAGCCAATGGATAAGCAAAACGTCGCATCTCCATACAACAGAATATTACTCAGCCTCAGAAAGGAATTTCCAACACAGCGACCACGTGGATGAACCTTGAAGACAGTATGCTAAGTGAAAGAAGCCAGACACAGATGGTCACACATTACATCATTTCATTGAAATGAAATGTCCAGAATAGGCAGATCTGCAGGAACGGAGTCAGTTCCTGATTGCTCAGGGCAAGTGAGGGAGTGTCAGCTAAAGGGTACAGACCTTTTTGGAGGTAATGAAAATGTTCTAAAACAGACTGTGGTAATGGTTGCACACATCTGTGAATACTAAAATCCACTGATTTGTACCATTTAAATAGGTAAATTATAGGATACATGGATTTTATCTCAATAAATATGTTTACCAAAAAAGAGTTGATTCATGAAGGATTGATCTCCTTCTACCTCTTAGGACTGTTCCTGGGGTCCATGTCTGGTCTTGTCACCAGACTGGAGGTGCCTACCATAGCAATGGCTGTGTCTGTACAACCCTATACCCCACTCCCTAGGACAACGACTGAGACAGAGTAGGCATTGATGATTGTTTGCTGAGTGGATCAATAAATATATGCACCTCAAACTCCTATTCACCCTTCAAAACCCCACAGAGGACCCTCTTCAGAGAAGGCCTGAATGATTTGCCCTGACAATCCTTCTTTCCATCTTTGTCTTAATCTGTGCCTCCCTCTATCAAATATCATACCAGGCCATACTCTATGGTAAGTGAGGCTGAGCGCCAGGACTCTTTCTGATTCAAGTCCACATCTACCGCAGTCTGGCATATAGCGATTGCTCTATAACAGGTATCTCCTCACCAACCCTAGTGTCTTGGACCTCTGCCCTCAGGGCTACTGTGGAACCAGGCCATGGGGAAGTAACTCACACAACTTTGCAGCTGCAGTACCTGGGCCTCACCTGAGTGTGAGTCCCAGCAGCCTGTTCAGTGTCAAGCTCTGAGGGCAAATCGAAGTGCTGACCTGCCATGCAGATGCCCCAGCCCCCAGCCCAGCCCCACCTCCCGGAGGACACAGTCCCAGCTGTATGTGACCCCAGCAATGCACGCACCCTGAGCTTGACCTGGGTCCGCTTACGAAGCCACTTCTCTCGGGGGCTGGCAGGGCTTAGTGCTGCGGGGTCCAAGCGGGCACTCTCCTTGACGTTCACACTCTCGTAGCGCATCACCTGGCCGAGAGCCAAGCAGGGCCCCCTGGTCAGGCCTTCTGGCTCCTCTGCCTCCCTCCCAGGGTGTCAGCGCCCACCAGCTTGTGACCAGCTGGGCCCTGCCCCTGCCATCCCCCAACCTCACAGCCTGGAACCATCAGGAGGCTGTAGACCCCAGGACCCATGTCCCTGCACTCCTGTCCTGGAAGCTGATGCCAAAGTAGTCTCCCAGTTGGCTCCCTTCCTGAGAGAAGTCTCTGCCTCCTGGGCCCAAACCTGGCAGCCAACTGTTTCTGTCCCCACTCTCTGCCTTCCCTGTTACAACAGGTGGCCCTTCCTTTTATTTTTTTTGAAACGGAGTTTTGCTCTTGTTGCCCAGGCTGGAGTGCAATGGCGCAATCTCCGCTCACTGCAACCTCTGCCTCCCAGATTCAAACGATTCTCCTGCCTCAGCCTCCTGAGTAGCTGGGATTACAGGCATGCATCACCACGCCCGGCTAATTTTGTATTTTTAGTAGAGACAGGGTTTCTCCACGTTGGTCAAGCTGGTCTTGAGCTCCGAACCTCAGGTGATCCACCTGCCTCGGCCTCCCAAAGTGCTGGGATTATGGGCGTGAGCCGCCATGCCCAGCCTAATAGGTGGCCCTTCCCTAAGACTAGCTTGAGTACTGATCCCAGCCCCTCCATGCTTCTTGAGGACGCTGCTCCAGTGATGCTCCCCTTTCAATCCTGCAGCACTGACTACACTGCCTCTGCTAGACCACTCTTCTTAGCACCCAAATATGCTTAATACGCCCATCTTAAAATATACTCTCGGACTCCTCATGCCTCTCCAGGGACCACCACGTCCTTGCTATCCCTTGCAGCAACGCTCACAGAGGACTAAGCCCACACACTGTCACCCTTGCACACTGCTCAAGAACAGCCTCCTCTCCAGATAGAGAAGGGCGGCACCCCTTCGGGTCCTGTGGGCAGGCCCACAATGGCGGCAGCGGTACCTGTCTCAGGATGAAGGCGACCACGTCCGTGGACTCCCAGTAGCTGGCGTGGAAGAGGTGGGGCAGGGCCACGGTGGGGAAGGCCATGAGGACATCAGGGCAGTACAGGGCGTAGTCGATCCTCTTGGTTCCCCACCACTTGGCTGTGACTGTGGGTCCGAGAGGAAGGTGAGGATGCGTGGCCGGCCCGGGCCTCAACCAGAGGGTCATGGGGTCTCCATCGCACAGACTGGTGGCAGAAGCATCACGCGGGGCACAGGTTTGGGCTGGAGCCCCCTGGCCTGAAGAAAGCCTGGGAAATGTGCTGCTCTTCCTCTCTCCTTCTCGAAACCCACCAGCCATCCCCTAAAATGTGTGCTCCAAGCCCGTGCCCAGGAAGGAGGGCCAGAGCCACAGACAAGTCCACAGTCTCGCCCAGGGCTGCCGCTCATGGCAGTTCCCAGTGGGCTCTGTCTGAAGTTGGGGCTGAGTCTGTGTCTGGAGGGTTCAGGACTTCCTTCATGGTCAGAGGTCAGAGCCCTGTCCAGGGTCAGAGGTCAGGGCTCTGTCCAGGGTCAGAGTTCAGGGCACTGTCCAGGGTCAGAGGTCAGGGCTCTGTTTGAGGTCAAAGCTCAGTCCCAGTCAGGGGCCAGGGGTCTGTACTCTCTTCAAGGTCAGAGCTCTGAAATGAGCCAGGGTCCGTTCACGGCTCTGTCCAGGTCAGAAGTCAAGGTTCCTCTGAGGTGAGAGCTCAGATTGGGGCCTGAGTGAGGATTTGGACCACTGTCCAGGTCTCCACCAGCAGACCTCAGCTCTCTAAAGGCAGAAGCAGCCCCCAGGACGTCCTCCACCCTCTCCCCACCCTAGGGCCTGCCCTCAGCAGCTCTAGCAGTGACCCAGTAACCACCCAGAGGAAGGTTCCCCTCCCCCAAATCAGGCAGGGCCCCAAAAGGACCTCACTCACTGCGGGAGGCACCCACGGGTGCCATGCCGTCCGAGGACTCTGAGCTCTCGCTGTGGGAGCTGCCCTCGCTTATCCTCCGTCCTGGGCGCTGGAACCTTGAGGCCTGAGGGGGCGAGGCAGGGGTGTCCAGAAGAGGCGGGCTGTCCCAGGAGCTGCCCTCCAGGAAGAGGGGGCTGTGGGTGTGCAGGGCATCAGCTGGAGGGGGAATTTCAAGGTCAGGCTGAGTCACGTGTCTCCAGCAGAGCCGCCCACTTGGTGCCAGCCCTATTCTGGGAGGGAGGTTCCACTCAGTGCCAGCCCTATGCTGGGTGGGAGGTTGCGCACTGGGAGGAGCCAGCCCCGGCACTGCTCACTTGCCAGCCCAGCAGGCACCTGCCCCTCTCACTGTGCCCACCCCACCAGCCCCCCGGGCCTCAAGTGACCTGGTTGCCATAGCACATTGCTGAATTTACCTCCTTGCAGCTATGAGTTACGCAGTGAAGCTGCAGAGGAAGCCTCTGGGACATTGCCCCAAAAGCACCAGCTGAGGCCCCAGGGGTGACTCATAACCTTGTCGTCTCTGATCCAACTCCTCCCCTGCACCACAAAGGATTGAGGCCGCCTCTGGAAGGGAAGAGGACTCCAGCCTGGGAGCTAGGATAGCCTTGGGGGAGGGAGAAGAATCCCCTGACCTAAGAGGGCCCCATGGGGAGGGAGGTTTCCAGCCCAGCCTACCTGCTGAAGCTCCAGGCAGGCAGGGATTTGGAAACAAAGGCTCCACTGAATCAGGGGTGAGGAAGGGATGGGTTTTAATCCTGAATGTGCCCCATCCACAGCTCCTTCATCCCGGACATATAGCTCTGAGCAGGCTTAGGCTAAACCTCCTCAAGGTGGGCATGGAGCCAAGGCTCTGATTTCCAAGTCTCTGACTGTCCGTTACAGGCCTCCCATCGATGACACAGTCGGTCCATGCCCAGATCATCCCACTTGACCCTGGAGGCCACTGGCTTGTTGCCAAACCACCTGCCCTCACTCCTGCTGTTCTCTCCCCTAGAAGATCTCACTCCTCGTCCACTAGCTCTTCTCTACATGTCCAAATGCACCCCCTCTGTCTGGACCCTAATCAAAGGCCATCTCTCCCATGGAGCCCACCAGAATGGCACACTCTCTGCCATACCCCTACAGAGTCTAAGCTGGGTACTTGCAAATAGCTCAGAGCATGGATCCCTGGACCTGCCGTCAGGTCTGAAAGCTCAAGTGTTACGCCAGCCCTGGCCACAGGAGTGTGTCTGGGAGCCCATTAGGGGACAGAGCCTGGGTCTCTGAGCCCCAACATGCCGCAGACGGAGCAGGTGCTTGGCACAGGTGGGCCATTCTGAGGACAGAGGATTTGGCTATCCTGTTCTCACAGCCCCTGTTCAGGGGAATCACCCTACTCACTGAGTGCTTGGAGGGGCTGGACCAGAGAGGCCAGTGTTGGGTGCCACAGGGCTGGGACCCCACCTCCAGCTCAGCACACACTCTCCTGCCCGCAAGAACCTACCGAGGAGGAGGGATTGGCCATCGCCCAGTGGGAACCTCTGGTAGCGGGGCACACTGACAGGGGGCACCAGGTGGAACTTGGGCTCCAGCAGCGGCTCCAGCCGAGAGGCAGAGGGGTCTGCGCAGTGGAAGAAGCTGTAGACCTGGCTGCAGGCAGGGCGCATCTGGAAGCCTGGGGTGAAGACACAGAAGGAAGTGGAAGACACAGAAGGAAGCCCCTTTCTTGCACCTGCTCCCTAGGCCCTCGGAGGCTCCCTGGAGTACAGCTTGAAGCAGCCTACTTCCCTTTCAAGAACCTCCCAGGGCTCCCTGCTCCCATGGGAACAAAGCCATTACCTTCGGTTTGTCATTCAAGGCCTTGCCAATCGGCCCCACCCGGAGCGCTGTGATAGGCACCCAGCACTGCAGCCTCGGTGCACACCTGCCCATCCCCGCTCGGGCTTGCAGCTTTCCTTTCTCTGCGTCTTTGCTCAAACCATCCCTTCTCCTTGTGGGCCCTCCCTCCACCATTTCCACGGGGCAACTCCTTTAAATTCTTCCAGTTTTCTCTTAGTTACTACCTGACATAGGAAACCAGCCCAGGTTCCTTCAGGCAGGTCAGCTGCCCCTTCCGCAGGCCTCAGGGCTATACGCACTCAGTTCCCAGGCCTGCGGCCAGAGGGAGTTCCTGGTTTGCCGGAGCAGGTGGAACACTTCTCTTGCTGACCAGCAGGTGTCTCCACTGAGGCCTCCACATCCTCCGTGGGCCTCCCTACTGGGACCCTCCAGCACCCACGGAGCCCTAGGGTTCGTTTGTGACATTGAAGGCAGCCATGGGGTTCTGCCTTCCTGCCTCCATTTCTACCAGAGCCCTCCCCACTTGATCTGTTCCATACTGCAGCTCATCAGTAAGCTTTGGCTAAAAGCATGGATCTGTGGATACCCAAGATGCCCTGCAGTATCAGACGGTGTGTGCTTCCGACCTTGGAGTCACTGCTACCCTCCCTGACCCTATGCCTGCTGGTGCCAGTTGCCTGGTGTGTGCATTTTAGAGGAACATGAAAAGGTGTTCAAGGCTGCAGGTATTAGCCAGGCAGTGTGGCTCATGCCTATAATCCCAGCACTTTGGGGGGCTGAGGCAGATGGATCACTTGAGGTCAGGAGTTTGAGACCAGCCTGACCAACATGGTGAAACCCCATCTCTAACCAAAAATACAAAAATTAGCCAGATATTGTGGCGGGTGCCTGTAATCCCAGCTATTCAGAGGGCTAAGGCAGGAGAATCACTTGAACCCCAGAGGCAGAGGTTGCAGGGAGTCGAGACCTCCATTGCGCCACTGTACTTCAGCCTGGGCAACAGAGCAAGACTCTGTCTCAAAAAAAAAAAAAAAAAAAAAAAAAATTTGCAGGTATTGCATGAGCAAAGGCACTTGAGGTGGGGGAGGGCTTGGGGATATGCAGGGGTGGGCAGTGACCAACCTGGCTGCAGTGTCTGCCTCAGCACAGGAGAAGGAGAGAGTGGGAGGCAAGAGGGTGAATATTATAGCCTCTCTTCCCCAAAGGGCATGACCACCAGAAAAGCAACCAGGGGCACTTGATGGGAACAGTGAAATCCATCCGAAGATGCCTCACCTTCACCCCATGTCGGGAGGGAAGCTGCTCCTCTCCCCTCTCTGCCCCACCCTCTCTCCTCTCTTTCCACCTATCCCAACTCTGTGACCCTCCCTGCCCCCATCCCCGACTCCACTGCCCTCATTCTGAGGCCCTGACACAGTGGGTGGCCATAGTGGCGCACAGGAATCTTAGGCCCCTGCCCACTCTCCCTACCGTCCAGCCCAGGCAGCACCGTCCTCCGCATAGCCAGGACCAGGCCCAGCGGCGAGCCGAAGAGGAAGAAGTCAGACACGTCGAAGTCAAAGCGGCCCAGACTGACCTCGGGGAGCTGCAGCCCCCCGGCCGCCGGGGTCTCAGACTCATCCTTTAGCACGCTGGAGTGGATGCTGCAAGGGAGGGGGACACAGGACAGGGCAGGTTAGGGAAGGACTGAGAATGCAGGCGTGTTCACTCAGCGGCGCAGCCTGAACTCTGAGCGCCAAGTGCCCCACCCTCCACCTCTGGGACAGGACTGAGTCCAGTCCACCAGCTGCACACCACCTACAGTCAGCACTGGCCACCAAGGCCTGGCCGGTATTTGGCTAGAAAAGTAGTCAATGGGCTAGGCGCGGTGGCTCATGCCTGTAATCCCAGTGTTTTGGGAGGCCAAGGTGGATGGATTACAAAGTCAGGAGTTCAAGAGCGGCCTGACCAACATGGTGAAACTCCCCTCTAGTAAAAATACAAAAAAATTAGCTAGGCGTGGTGGCATGTGCCTGTAATCCCAGCTACTCAGAGGGCTGAGGCAGGAGAATAGCTTGAACCCAGGAGGCAGAGGTTGCGGTGAGCCGAGATCGCGCCACTGCACTCTAGCCTGAGCGACACAGCAAGACTCTGTCTCAAAAAAATAAAAAAAAGTCAACGAACCTTTTCTGCAAAGGGCCAGAGAGTAAATATTTCAGACTTCATGAACTATGTGGCCTCCATTGCATCTAGTTAACTCTGCCATTGCTGCATAAAAGCAGTCATGGACAGCCATGGCTGGGATCCAATAAAATGTTACTTACAAAAACAGGCTGAGCCCGTGGGGGCGTCTGAGCATTCTACACACAGGCAGGCCTGCCTCGTCACACTGGCTTTGTGATGGCCATGTGGAGGATTCCTACACTGTGTACCAGACAAGTCCAGCCTGCCCAATATCCAGCTGGCTAACGTCAGTTCTGCAGGGATCCGGGCTTTCATCATTAACTCCTGTTCCAGGCAACCCGCAGACACAGATGCAAACAGCTTCGTCTCCCCACTGCCAGCCCCAGCCTGCAGATGAAGCAGGGCTTAAGGAGAAAAATGTGAGACACACAGAATTCTAAACATTTCCAACCCAGGTGCCCATTGCCTCAGGAAGAGTCCAAGTCATGTTCAGCCACAGACCCAGAGTAGGGCACTGAGAATCAGAAGGACACCTGGGCCACCTCCCTAACCTTCCAGCCAGCATTAGCTACAGCTTAAAGTGAAAACCTGACAGTGGGACCACATGATGTATCTGTCAATTAAGTGAATGCAAAGCAACTAAAATACTTGAGTTAGAGGAGAACAAACTTTAGAAAGATCCATGGGGAATGCTTTTACACTGTTGGTGGGAGTGTAAATTAGTTCAACCATTGTGGAAGACACTGTGGCGATTCCTCAAGGATCTAGAAATAGAAATACCATTTGACTCAGTAATCCCTTTACTGGGTATATACCCAAAGGATTATAAAATCATTCTATTACAAAGACACATACACATGTATGTTCATTGTGGCACTTTTATGATAGCAAAGACTTGGAACCAACCCAAATGCCCATCAATGATAGACTGGATGAAGAAAACGTGGCACACATATACCATGGAATACTATGCAGCCATAAAAAAAGGATGAGTTCATGTCCTTTGCAGGGACATGGATAAAGCTGGAAATCATCATTCTCAACAAACTGACATAAGAACAGAAAACCAAACACTGCATGTTCTCACTCATAAGTGGATGTTAAACAATGAGAACTCATGGACACAGGTAGGGGAACATCACACACTGGGGCCTGTAGGGGGGTGGGGGGCTAGGGGAGGGATAGCAGGGGGTGGGGGGTTTGGGGAGGGATAGCATTAGGAAAAATACCTAATGCAGATGACGGGGTGATTAATGCAGCAAACCACCATGGCACGTGTACACCTACGTAACAAACCTGCACATTCTGCAAATGTATCCCAGAACTTAAAGTATAATAATAACAAAAAAGCAGCACTGAGAAGGATTTCTGAACATTATAAGTGATCAATAAATTTATTTTTGCTATCACTCAAAGCAAAAAGGAAGAGCGATTGGAATGGTGCGGACAAGTGCCCCACCCTCAGGAGTGAGCGAGTCTGCAAAGCTGAATCCTGTCCCCACGCTTCCGCCTGCCTCTTGCAGTGTGAGCATCTCACAGTGAGGCGATGACTCTGATGTTTAACAATACATATTTCACGTACAGCATGGTCCCTAGACACACGCCAACTACTTAATTGCCAAAGAAACCACCATCTGTCCCTACACCAGAGGGGAAAGCTGGCTGTGTCAGACCAGCTACTGAAAGCCTCCAACTTCTCATCACTCTCCAAATTTGGGGCTCCCCTAAAGGATTTTTCAAGGATGAACCAGAAAGGTTGAGATTTTTCATCTTGCAAGCCTCCCTAGAAGGCAGCTGCTTTTCTAAAGGATCATCTGTCAGCGGGGCTTTAAACATTCAGAGATGTAAATGTGCAGAGCCTTTGACCTAGTAATTCCTCCTCCAGGAATCCATCCAAATACAATCATCCTAATATACACGTTAATGTTTATGTGCAAAGATGTTCACTGCAGAGCTACTTACAGTGGTAAGGAATTGGAAACCGCCAAAATACCTAATTACAGGGATTAAATAAACTGATATCCATTCACTCAATATTATATTGCCATTAAGAATATTTATCAAGTATTTTTAACTGCATCAGGAATAGGTCACAATATGAAAGGTTCTTTCTTTTTCTGAAACAGAGTTTCACTCTTGTTGCCCAGGCTGGAGTGGAATGGCACGATCTTGGCTCACTGCAACTTCCGCCTCCTGGGTTCAAGTGATTCCCTTGCCTCAGCCTCCTGAGTAGCTGGGATTACAGGCACCTGCCACCACGCCCAGCTAATTTTTGTAGTTTTAGTAGAGATGGAGTTTCACTACATTGGCCAGGCTGGTCTCGAACTCCTGACCTCGTGATCCACCCACCTCAGCCTCCCAAAGTGCTGAGATTACAGGCGTGAGCTACTGTGCCCGGCTGTAAAACTATCTTAAAGCGTGTGGAAGAAAATAGTTTCAATGTTAACAGTAGCTCCCTCTGGGTGGTCAGATGATGTATTTTCCAAATGTTGTAATGATCTCATGATACTTATCCCTTGGGTAAGGAGGAAGGAGAAAGAAAGGAAGAAGAGAGCTGAGGAGCAGAGGAAAAATAAAGAGACATTCCCTCTAACTTGGGTCTGAGTTCAACAGCTATTTGTAAGTTGAATTAATGTGCAGATAACGTATTTCGCCCACGTTGATTAACATGCCTCTTCTAGAAAGTTAAAGGGTAGACAGTTCTGTAGAGAGACCTGCCTGGCCCTCAAACAAAAGTGTGTTGTATCAGAAAGCACTGAACTAGGGATAGGAAAACCAGAATGATGATTCCAGCTACTGCATCACTGGCTGCGTGACCCCTAGAAAGCTCCTGACCTACTTGGCCCTCTCTTTCCCTGAGAGAAATGATAACAACACACACCTGGGGTGACTCACAAACCACAGTCACAGCAGTTATTCCACCAGCTTTTTTTTTTCTTTTTTGAGATGGAATCTCGCTCTGTCGCCCAGGTTGGAGTGCAATGGCACAATCTCAGCTCATTGCAACCTCCGCCTCCCAGGTTCAAGCGATTCTCCTGCCTCAGCCTCCCGCATAGCTGGGATTACAGGTACCCACCACCATGCCTGGCTAATTTTTATATTTTTAGTAGAGACAGGGTTTCACCATATTGGCCAGACTGGTCTCAAACTCCTGAACTCGTGGTCCTCCCACCTCAGCCTCCCAAAGTGCTGGGATTACAGGCATGAGCCATGGTGCCCGACCTCCACCAGGTTCTTAAAACCAGCCAGTGAGGTAGGCTGGGCACCATTACCTTTTTGCAGAAGAAAGGCTGAGGCTCAGAAAAAGACTACTGTTTCCAGCCTCTCTGCAAGTCAGAGCAGAACAGGGACAGGGAGCAGGTAACAGAGTCTCAGTATAGGGCTGATGGCAAGTGGCCTTCGCCCTAGCATTTCAATGCTTATGTATGGGCCCCCATGCAAGGGCCTGGGACATATGACTGGTCACCGCCCTCCCAGTTGACTCTGAGCCAAGGTCTTCTTGCTCCTGGGTGCATTGACAGAAAGCCAGAAGGGGACAGAGAGGGGCTACCTTGAGAGGAAGGCGTGGTGCTGGGTGATGGTCTCACAGTCATAGGTGGAGGAGTCACTCTGTTTCCTCGGCAGCAGCCTCTTGGATTCCTCATCCTCCAACCCGCTGGAGACGTCAATGTTGCTCTTGCTGAGACGCTTGCTGCTGGCCAGGCTGCAATCCTTCTCCCCAATTGGGGTGTCCTTTGGGACCGAGCAGGGGACAGGAGAGCAGAAGACTGTTGTCACAGGAGACTCTGGGCTCTGTTTCCTCCCACAAGCGCAAATCAGCCCCTTCATCCTAAGATGTGAGGGGCCACACTTCTTCCAAAAGACACAAGGAAGCCACATCACAATAATGGCAGGATTTGAGGCATAGGCTCTCTCCTACACCCACAGGAATTGACATTCCAGCTGGGATGCTGGACAGTTGTCGAAGGAGCCAAATCCAACTCAGCCCTCTCCAGGCCTCAGTTTCCCCGCCTGTCGTAATAATCCCCTGCTACTCTTGTAGAATTACGGTACACTTCTTTTTTTTGAAAGGGAGCCTAGTTCCATCGCCCAGGCTGGTGTGCAATGGCGTGATCTTGGCTCACTGCAACCTCTGCCTCCTGGGTTCAAGTGACTCTCCTGCCTCAGCGTCCTGAGTAGCTGCGATTATAAGCGCCCACCACCACACCTGGCTGATTTTTGTATTTTTAGTAGAGACAGGTTTCACTATGTTGTCCAGGATGGTCTCAAACTCCTGACCTCAAGTGATCCAACCACCTCGGCCTCCCAACGTGCTGGGATTACAGGCCTGAGCCACTGCGCCTGGCCAGATTATGATATACTTCTTCGTAACCTGGATGTCATGGTGCCAATGTGGAGAACCAGCACTCCCTCCCCAAGGGGTGGCCCCTGATCCCCCGGGTATGCCCCGCCCACAGTCCTGCACCCCAGCCGCACCTGGGTGCTGCTGATGCTCCCCTTCCGGCTGCTGCTGGCAGGGCTGTCCCCGGAGGGCCCCGCACTGTAGCAGATGGCATCAAAGGCCAGGAGGCCGCCCACGCAGTCCCCGATGAGACACACCTGGAAGAGACGCAGCTGGGACTGCAGGCCTGCCTATGGCTGACCCCGTACACCCACACCCGGACAGAGCAATGCTGCCTCCCCTCAGGAGAATGAGAAACTCGTCCTTGGAAGCCATTGAGAGAGCTCAATTGGGAAGCAGTGCTCAAACTGGGGGGTCAGGGCTGACGTTGGCCCAGGTCAGCCCAAGGACAGGGAGTAGGCTACTATCAGGGGTCAGACCTCAGCAAGAGAGCAATATGGGCTCAGAATCAGAACTCAGACTGCTGACCTCCTCAGTTTTTCTATCTGTAAAATGAGGGTAAGCCCAGAGCTCTCCAAAGCCACCTCTCAGCTCCGATGCTGATTCTAGAACAGCCTGGCCTTGGTCCTTTCAGTAGATTCCAGCCTCTCCCAGGCAGGGGCCAGAACAGGGGAGGGGAGAGGAGGGAAGGGCGGGCTGTCCTACCTGCCCACTGAAGCCAATCCCATCGGAGGACTTGAGGAACTCTCTGTACACCTGGTTGGCTCGCTCGATGACGGTGGCGACGGCGTCCTGGTACTGCGGGGAGGAGATGGCCAACAGGGGAAGGGCGGCCAGAGGGACGTGGTCCTGGCTGCTGCTCAAGCAGCCCTCATCGTGGCTGTAGGGGTTCAGGCTGCGGACAGGGGGCCCAAGGTGAGCCCAGCCAGGATTGGGCAGGTTGGCAGGTTTGGGGCTGAGGACCCTTCAGGAGGACCCAGGCAGGAGCCTGGTGACACAGAGCACAGGCAGTTCGGGTAGGGGGAAGAAGATTCAAGCCTACACTGACTCGCTGTGTGTCCTTCCTGTGCTGGCCATGGGCATGGGCCCTGGGGTCCCTGTGACTGCAGAGCTCTCTTATCCTCTTATGCTCGACCCCAAAGGACACCCCAGTCATAGAGGAAGAAGTCAGCTGAGGAGCCAGCTAGTGTGGAACAGGTGGGAACATATCATCACGGCAGACTTCCTGGAGGAGGTGGGGCTTGAACTAGGCCTCAAGAAAGGCTTTGGAGAAGCTGGGAAAGGAGGAGAGAGGCCATGCCAGGCATGGGGTCCACATTTTGGCTATAGCTTGGAGCTGGGCACATGGCTGCAGACAGGATGTCTTCATTGTGTCACTGGGAGAAGATGGGAGCTTTCTTCAGCTTCGCAGAAAGTTCTGAGACCCCAGAGGGGGCTGACAGCCTGCCCAAGAGTGTCCAGCCAGCAGATTGTCCAGACTTTACACTGATGCTCTCAACTCCATACCATCCCACTAGGAAATCCCTCCCTCTCTGGGCAGCTCAGATGCACCTGAGACCAGTGCCTCTGAGCAACTCGCCCCTGCCTGTCCCCACCTCCGCTTCTGTTCCCTGGGGCTTCTGACCCAGATGTACTATGGGACCTGGCTGGTCAGGAAAGACCACAGAGGGAGGCTGGGAACTCTCCACCTCTGCCCAGGGCCTGCCCTTCCCCCTTAGCCCAAGCTCAGGCTAATGGAGCCCAGTGCAGACCCCACTGGGACTCCACAGACTCCGGGGCAGGTGACAGGGCCCAGGCACTCTCAGCAGGTGGCAGAGTCCTCGTGGTGTACAAGGCTGGCCCTGTCAGCCATTCCTCATCTCCAAAGAACACAAATTAGAGGAAGCAGGCCTCGATTGCAGCCGGAGAGATTTTAATTAGCTGAGAAAGAGCTCCCTCCCAGTCGTGATTACAGGGTGATGAATGGCCCTGGCGAGGAGCTGCCTGGGGGAGAAGTAAGCTCCCTCCTGCTGGTCCCATGAATGGCCCAGCCATCCATCTTCCTGGAGATAGGGGTGACCCAGCTCTGGAGGTCAGATGTCCTGGGGGCAGGTAGGGGGTTCCTGAGATGGATGATGAACTAGCTGAGTGAAGTCCTGGCCTGTCAGAGTGACAAGGGAATGCGCTGTGCCGCCAGCTCAGCAGTGAGCAGGTGTTGGAGATGCAGATTCCAGGGCGCCTCCCTCCTGAATCAGCCACTGTTGGGGTGAGGTGTGGACATCTCACAGTTTCACAAGAATCACACCAGGGATTTAGGCAATTAGCCAAGCTGCAGAACTATGGACCTCATCTCCTTCCTTCCTTCCAACTCAGATGGAGATCTGCCTGCAATTCCTGTTGGTGTCCAAGGAACGCAGATAAATCAGAGTCTCTGACTTTCCCTGAATCCAGAGGGGGAAAAGGAAACCCCAGGAAAGGGAAGGCGGTTGGCCATGCTCTCTTCTGATCAGCTGGAAGCTCCAGGGTGAGGGACTTGAGCCCTCCCCGCACTGAGTGCTTCTCAGAACCTCATCTGGCTGAGAACACTGGCTCCCATTCTCCTGGGGAATCGGGAGTGTGGTCTACCCCACAGACCTGGCATCCTACTGGGGACCTCTTCCCACTCTCCCCAGCCCCGCAGCCCCAGGGTATGAGGGCCCTGCTTGACAGCTGGGCTCTGCAGCAGCCCCAAGTCCCTGGTGGGGTCCTGTGAGGGGAGAGGCAGAGTAGAGGTGCAGCGGCCTCCCTCCTGCCCCTAACTGAAAGTTCCCAGCTGCCAGCTGCCAGCCCCAGTGATCTGCCAAATGCCTATAGGATTTGGGCCCTGCAGGCATTTGGGTCATTTTCTGCACATATGACTGCTGAGAATCCAGGTATCCACCTGGCCCCAGGCACGCACCTTTAGCTAGTTTGACAGGACAGGCAGGAGGGGAGCACTGCGGCCCTCGAGGCCTGGAACAGTGGGTGGATCTCCCAGAAGCCCCATACCCTGGAGGTCCCCTGGTCACTCAGTTTGTCCCCCACAGGTACCAGGGCCCACAGTGGATGTGCCAGCATCAGCACTGAACAAGCTGCACAGCGCTCAGCCAGCCCTCCTGTGCACATCATCCTTCCTTTCTCCCCACCAGCTGGGTTCCCTGCTGGAAGTTGGAAGTCTCCTTCCCCAGCCCACTCTCCACCTGCAGAGAGAGCCCCTCTTCCAGCCAGGAGGAAGATGATGTGAGTCACAGCTAGCATCCCCAAGGCTGGCATCCCCACGGTTAGCATCTCCATGGCTGGCATCCCCATGGCTAGTCTCCCTGAGGCTAACATCCCCATGGCTGGATCCCCACAGCCAGCATCCCCAAGGCTGGTATCCCCACAGTAAGAATCCCTGAGGCTGGTATCCCCACAGTAAGAATCCCTGAGGCTAGTATCTCCATAGCTAGATCCCCACAGATGGCATCCCCAAAGCTGGCATCCCCAAGGTTAGCATCCCCACGTGCTTTCTACGTTCTGGACACTGTGTTCAGTGCTTCACACACATGAGCACACAGAATCTTCACAACAACCCGGAGAGGTTATTTACTATGGTTACTTTCATTGCATAGATTAGGAAACTCAGGGAGAGGTGAAACAACTTCCCCCAGTCACATAGCCAGGATGCAAACCCAGGCTGGCCTGAGAGGCCACACACTTAACCAAGATATGTACACCCAAAAGTCACTCCTCCAGGAAGTCCTCTCTGGCCTTTCTCAGAGAGCCCACAATGCCCTATTCCTCCTCCATCACGGCAGTGAGATACTATGAGGTAGGTAGGTAGGTAGGTAGGTAGGTAGATAGATAGATAGTAGATGGATGAATGGATGAATGGATGGATAGAGTGATGGGGATAGATGGATGGATAGACAAATAGGACAGACAGATAACAGATGGTTGAATGGATAGAGTGATAAGGGATGGATAGCTAGATAATGGATGGATGAATAGGGTGATAGGGGATGGATGGATGGATAGATTAGATAGATAATAGATGGCTAGAGTGATAGGGGATAGATGGAGGGATAGATAAATTGGATGGATGGATAGATAGATAGATATGGATGGATGAATAGGGTGACAGGGGATGGATGGATATATAAGAGATGGATAGAGTGATAGGGGATGGATGGAGGAATAGATGGATGGATGGATGGATGGATGGATAGATAGATAGACAAGTTTTTTCCACAATTCCTGGCTCCCATATCCCTTATTATAATATTGGAGCACTTTAGGTCTCAGGAGCAGGCCTTGGAAAACAGAATCAATCCCTCTGCCTGTCTCTCTCTCTGTCTCTCTCTCTGACCTCTGGCATTCTCCTGCCCTCCTTGTATTCTCTCCCCAGGCAGGAACTCTCCCCCACCTTTCTGTCTTGCAGCTGGCTGTAAAGAAATTCTCTGATCTCCCTTGTCTGATTTAGGTCATGAGACCTTCATTTCAGAAGGAGTCCTGCTCCATACCCAGGAGAAGGGAATGCTGCAGAGAGGCCAAGAAGAATCTGAGCAGACAGGCCCTGCTGGGTTCCTTACCGGGGCTGAGCCTGAGACCCTTGTTGTCCAACCACATTTCTTTGTTGTCAGTCATGCCTAGCCAATGCCACCTCCATTAAAGGGTGGAAAGGACAGGAGAGCTTCCTGAGATCTGAACACGTGGAGGTTCCTCGAGGGTGGCACATGTTGGGAAGCTCCGCCCCTTCCCCCATACCTCGCCCTATGCATCCCTTCATCTGCCTCCTTTATCAAACACCAGTTAATATGATTAGGCATTTTCCTGAGTTCTGTGAGCCTATCTAGCAATTAATTGAACCCAGTGACAGGGTTGTGAGAACCCCAACTTGAAGCTAGGCCGTCAGAAGCACAGGTAAAACAAACTGGAGCATGCTCTTGGTATCAGAAGTTTGGGGCAGTTTGTGGGACCAAGCTTTCGCCCCGTGGGATCTGACGCTATCTCCAGGTAGACAGTGGCGGGATTGAATCGGACGGCACCCAGCTGGTGTCCATAGCAGAACTGATTGCTTGGTGTGTACGGAAACAGCCCCTCCCATGTGGCCCCAGAAATCTTCTGTGTTGACTGTTATGGTGTGAGAGCAAAGGAGAAACACCGTTCGTGTTTTCAAATTCCTACTTGGTTGCAATTGCGTGGCCGAGTGTGACTCCTGTCTCCACTGGCTGGGCCACCATGGGGGAAATGGCTTGAGTTTTCATGGGGACCTCAGCACACCCAGGCCCAGGCAGAGGACAATTCCCAGCCCCTTCCACCAGGGATGCTTGTGTTTCATCAGGATCTGACATCCCAGAGAGGGCTTGCAGGTACCCACCTGCCCACGGGGTCCATGTTGCAGGGGCAGCCCCTCTACTTAGTTGCCCCACCAACCCCATCCAGCCCCAACCAAGCAGAAATGGACTCACTGAGAGACGAGCGAGAAAGCCTCAGAGCAGATAGCAGGACAGGGGACGAACTTGATGAGGATGTGGCCCAGGGCAGCAGGGAAGTGGGCTCGTGTGACCTTCTCCAGCACGGAGCTGAAGGTGTGGATGTCGGCTGCCTTGCAGGATGGGTCCCCGGTGCCAGTGTCCAGGACGTTGCCCCCATGCAGCACCAGCAGGAGGACGTGTGTCTTGCAGGAGCGCTGCGGGCAGCCTTCCTGAGAGCCATGTCGGTTGATATAGAGAAAGAGAGGCGGCTGGGGATGGGGGAGGCACACAGGGACACACACACACACACACACACACACACACATACAGGGAGACTGAGGCCAGAGAAGTAGGCACTATATCCAGCCTGCCTCAGCTCCAATTTGAGTGGCAGTCTCAGCTCTACTACGCCCAGCTATGTGATAGAACCTCTGGTGCATTCAGAGTGAGGAAAGGGCACAGGCTGCCAGGAGTCATGTCTGAGCAGGAAGGAGTCTCAAGAGACCCTTCCTGTTCATATGGGAACCCAAAGCCCAGAGAAGGACAGGGACCAGCCCAGGGTCACACAGCCAGTCAGATGAAGAGCTGGAAGACAACGAGGCTGCCTGTTATCCAAGGGCTCTTCCTAAAATCCTGGCCTCTGAGATGGCCCCAGACACGCCCCAAAACCCAGCCCACCTCACTGTCTTCATGGATCTCAATGCTTCCCTGGGCGGGGAACCTCTGTCTTCTCAAGGAAACCCGGTACAGTTCTCCTGCAGAGGGAAAGAGGAGAGCTCAGCGTGTCCAGGCTTCCCCAAAGCAACCAGACACTCCCTGGACCCAGCTGGCCCTAAGGGTGAGGCCTTGGCTTACATCATAGAGGAGCTCAGGTTAGTTACAGCCTGGAGCTAGGGAGAGTCACCCCAACCAGGCCCCGCCTCGGAAACCAACATGTCATGAAACCCTTTCTCCTCACAAGGAAAGGAAGGCCAGCAGAGTAGGGCCATCCTGGATGGTGCTCCTGAAATGAGAGGCTTCCTCAAAAGGAACCAGCCCACGTTTCTTCACCTCGAAAGGAACAGCCCGCGTTTCTTCACCTCGAAAGGAACCGGCCCGCGTTGCTTCACCTCGAAAGGAACCGGCCCGCGTTGCTTCACCTCGATAGGAACCGGCCCGCGTTGCTTCACCTCGAAAGGAACCAGCCCACGTTGCTTCAACTCCATCAGCAGCAACAGTGTGAGAACCTACTGAGGACTTCCACTTCCAGTTATGGACGGTGATTTGAGCCAAGCCTCCCACTGAGGACAACTGGAAGAGCTGGTGTGAAGGCACATTTTATGCACCAACTCTTGACTGAGCTCAGAGATGCCCGGGTAGCTGGTAAAACATGTTATCTGGGTCTATCGGTGACGTATTTCGCAAGAGATTGGCATTTGAAGCGGTGGGTGAAGGAGATTGGCCCTCACAGTGGGGGTGAGTACCCTGCGGTCCGCAGAGGGCCTGAACAGAACAAAACGATGCAGGCAGGGAGGACTCACTCTTCTCAAGCCCAGACCTCCATCTCCTGCCCTCACAGTCAGCACTCCTGGTTCTCTGGCCTTAGGACTTGAACTGGTATTCATGCCCTTGTCTCCCCTGGTTCTCAGGCCCTTAGACTCGGGCCGGAACTACACCAGAGGCTTTCCTGGGCCTCCCAACCTCCAGGCAGCAGATCAGGGAACATCTCAGCCTCCATCATCACAAAAGCCAGTCCCTCATAATAAATCTCTTTTGATACATCTGTGTATATATCCTTTCAGTTCTGTTTCTCCAGAGAACCCTAATTCAGCTAGGTAAATCCTTAAAAAAAAAATCTGGCCCGGCATGGTGTCTCACACCTGTAATTCCAGTACTTTGGGAGGCCCGGGTGGGTGGATCACGAGGTCAGGGGATCAAGACCATCCTGGCCAACATAGTGAGACCCCGTCTCTACTAAAAATACAAAAAAAAAATTAGCCGGGTGTGGTGGTGCGCCCCTGTAACCCCAGCTATTTGAGAGGCTGAGGCAGCAGAATTGCTTGAACTTGGGAGGCAGAGGCTGCAGTGGGCCGAGATCACATGACTGCACTCCAGCCTGGGCGACAAGAGTGAGACTCCACCTCAAAAAAACCAAAAATCTGTTTTAAGTTATCAGAGAGATAATACAGACTTGAATTATGGGACCAATTTCCAGGGAAGGTAGACTCCCAGAGAGGTAAGGTCAGCATTTGAAACACTCTTGGCATCACCCATGAGCTTTGGGGTAAAGCTGGCCTTTGGCAGAAATCTCTCCTTGCTCCTCTGAGCAGGCTGGGATCAACACCTCCCCCTTCAAGAAGTCCTTATTGGCTCCCAGCCCTCCCTGAGCTCTCATTTCCCTAACAAAGAATTCAGTAAGCCACAGCCATGGACCAAATCTGCCCCACTGCCTGTTTTTGTAAATAAAGTTTTATTGGAACACACCCAGGTTCATTCATTTACATACTGTCTATGGCAGGTGGCTTTTGTGCCACAGTAGCAGAGTAGTTGCAGCAGACACCTCACAGCTCACAAAGCTGAGAATATTTATTATCTGGCCCTTTCCAGAAATGTTTGTCAACCCCTGATCTAACACCTGCACTCCTGAATGTCATGACACTGGTTGGACTCCTGGGTGGAGAAACTTCAAAGGCATCCAACAGCCACCCCAGAGCCCCCACCCAAATGCTTCCTGCCACTCTGAGGACTCCCTCCTGCCATCAGGCTGCCTTCAGCTCCTCTCCTTCCTCCCCCATGAGATGGATACTATCTCCTGTGTGTGGCTAAAACCTACACCCAAGCTGAACCACCTGTTTGTCTTCAGTGAGGAGGAACTGGCTCATCTCTTAAGGTCAAAGGTTCTAGATGAGGCTGGCCCTTGCCTTCTTCACAACCCTGCACCCCCCCACACACACCAGAGCCTGCTGCTCCCCTCTAGGAGTCACATCTGGGGAGGGTCCTTCCAGGGGCTTTGAGGGCAACCCTAGGCACCCTGCCAACATCCCCTCACCATGACTGGCCACAGGGGAGGAGACCTCTACAGAGAACTGCAAATGAGCAGCTTTTCTCAGCAGTGAAGGGCATTTCTGAAATATTCTGTCCTCACAGACACAATCACGGTCAAAGGGCAGCTGCTTTATGAGCTCGGAGCTGCTGCCCGCATAGACAGGAAATCGTTTCGGAAATGATGGAGGAGGAGGAAAAACTTGTCCTGGGGCCTGGCTCTGCCCAGCACTTCCTAGCATTCTTCCCACGGGCGAGGCTCCCCTGCCTAATTCCTAACTTATCAAAGACCTTGCCGTATGCCATTCAGGACACAGGCATAGGCAAGGACTTCATGACTAAAACATCAAAAGCAATGGCAACAAAAGCCAAAATAGACAAATGGGATCTAATTAAACTAAAGAGCTTCTGCACAGCAAAAGAAACTATCCTTACAGTGAACCAGCAACCAACAGAATGGGAAGAAATTTTTTCAAATGACCCTTCTGAGAGGCTAATATCCAGAATCTACAAAGAACTAGACAAATTTACAAGAAAAAAACAAACAACCCCGTCAAAAAGTTGGCAAAGGATATGAACAGACACTTCTTAAAAGAAGATATTTATGCAGCCAACAAACATATGAAAGAAAAAGCTCATCATCACTGGTCATCAGAGAAATGCAAATCAAAACCACACTGAGATACCATCTCACGCCAGTTAGAATGGCTATCATTAAAAAATAAGAAGACAACAGATGCTGGAGAGGATGTGGAGAAATAGGAATGCTTTTACACTGTTGGTGGGAATGTAAATTAGTTCAGCCATTATGGAAGACAGTGTGGCGATTCCTCAAGGATCTAGAAATACAAATACTATTTGACTCAGCAATCCCATTACTGGGTATATACCCAAAGGACTATAAATCATTCTACATGCACACATATGTTTATTGTGGCACTGTTCACAATTAGCAAAGACTTGGAGCCAACCCAAATGCCCATCAATGATAGACTGGATAAAGAAAATGTGGCACACGTATACCATGGAATACTATGCAGCCATAAAAAAGGGATGAGTTCACGTCCTTTGCAGGGGCATGGATGAAGCTGGAAACCATCATTCTCAGCAAACTGACCCAAGAACAGAAAACCAAACACTGCATGTTCTCATTCATAAGTGGGAGTTGAACAATGAGAACACATAGATGCAGGGAGGGGAACATCACACACGGGGGCCTGTTGGGGGGTGGGGGGGCTAGGGGAGGGATGGTAGGGGTTGGGGGGTATTGGGGAGGGATAACATTAGGAGAAATACCTAATGTAGATGTCGGGGTGATTAATGCAGCAAACCATCATGGCATGTGTATACCCACGTAACAAACCTGCATGTTCTGCACATGTGCCCCAGAACTTAAAGTATGACTGATTAAAAAAAAAAAAGACCTTGCCCTAGGCTTGGCTAGAAGAGACCCAGGCCCTCCCCTCAGGACAGGATGATAACAACAGCAATGGCTCAGCTTTATTAAGTACTTATTATGTCCTGGGCGCTATGTGTGTTACATGGTTCATCCTGTCCAGTCCCCACAATTACTCTCTAAGTCTGAATGATCTTGTTAGTAGCCCCATTTTACAGAAGAGCAAACCAAGGCTCAAACAACCTCTGTCACTTGCCCCACGCACCTTAAAGGTTAAAAGGCCAGATATGCCACTGCCAGAGCCCTTTCCACCACATGAAATAGTGCCAGGAGGGAGAGAGTCCGAGTGTGGCTTCCCCGAGACAAAGCACCCACGCCTCATGGTGTGTGCAGCCCTGCGTGCGGCTCTGGGCAGGCTCCGAGTCCAGAGGAACCAGGAGTGAGGGCAGGGCTGAGGTTGGCTCTAGGGCTGGGAGGTGCGTGGTCAAAGCCACAGTCTCTGGATCCAGAATGCCCGGGCTCACATCCTGGCTCTTATCAGTTGTATGACCTGTCTCAGTTTCTTCAACTGGAATATGGGGATAATATAGCAGCTAGCCCGTGGGGTGGTGGTGAGGGGAGATGAGTTCACAGGCATAAAGGGCTTAGAACAGGGTGTGGAACACAGGAAATGTCACGTGGGTTAGCTGCCATTGTTATTATTATTATCCAGAGGACATCCAGGGCACAGAGCCAGGACCACAGCTGACAAGATGGGCTGATGGGGACATTGCTGCCTCCACACTTGCCTGCCCTGGTGCCAAGTTCCTCTCTGAGCCCTGGCAGGCTCCTCAGCCTTGCTGGGCTGGGCGCCTGTTTGCAGTGTGATTACAGGATTAAATGCTGTGATTGCCACAAATTACTATGGCAAGGCTATAAATACATTGCAGGGAAGACATGAGGGTCCTGCTGTCTCCTGGGCACGATGCCCTCTGTTAGGTGGGGGCTGGACCCTGTGCCGTCACGGATTACAAAGGCCAAGGAGCACCTACATCTTTGATCTGTGTGGAGCCAGCTCCGTCGGGACCCCTGTGATGCCCTGGGCATCAAATTGGTGGACAACTGCTGCGTCCTGGCTACCACTGATGTTGAGGCGGTTCCTGGTTCAGCAGGGATAGGAGCCACGGGAGCCACAGGCCAGAGACTGGGCAGCATTGTCCTCAGTATCCCTCACTCCTCCCCAGCAGGAAGGAAGAGTGTCACCTCCTACACTGTTTGGGGACAGAGCCTTGCTTCCTTTCCATGCACAAAAGCCAGGAATGCTTTGCTCTGGGAGAGGGAGGAAGGGAGATCTAGCCT